GAATGCCTGTGGGTGAAGGTTGGGTTATTTGGATTGGAACAATTCATCAAATGTTTGTTTTAAGCCCACTAGATAGTGGCAAAACCATTGTTTTCTAAGCCCACCTGAGGGTGGCAAATTCACGTCTTAGCCTACCTGCGGGTAGCACCATCAAACCATTTTCAAACAAACAAACATGAAATGTTTTGTTCCAATTCAGGCGACTCAGTCTATACTTGTATGCTGTGCGCATCACATAGTAACCTAGGCTAATAACCGGAATAAGAACATACAATGTTTTCAAAAATAGATATCATGGTTAGTAGAGGCCGGTCTCTGACCAGGCGAGCAGGGGTGCTCACGAAGTGACCTTCCCCAATCGTACCCAAGTTCCCGAGCCGAGGCAACTTTGGTGATGACAGACACGTGGCCTTTGGCACCGAGTCAGGGTTTCCTAAATTTCCCCAAAAATAAAATATTTAGGTGGCGACTCTGTATCTGGAAAAGCAGTCCATGTTTGGCACTTCTTTCAAAAAATCTATTTTCTCAAAACGATTTGCCATATTTGGACTCTTTGGTTCAGATTTAGAACCGTGACAATTTGAGAGTCCTGAGCTGTAGTGACCCCAAATGAACAGAACGGGACTCACCCTCCCGGGGCGTTCGGGGACGTCTACAAACCTCTGGAAAGAGAGAGGGGCCTCCCTTCTTAGAGAAATTCAAGTCCTAAGCTTGTTGGACAAGCTAAAGGCTTGAATTCAATCCCTCCATATATGGAGGACGAAATCTGTGCTCACCAGCTGTCACAGGTGGCACAAAAATATCTGCAAAAGCAAATAAAAAGGCCTCGGCCAAAAGATATGGCCGACAGACCAAAAAGGGTGCCGACCGGCCACCACTTATGGCTAATGGAGAGAAGACATGGCCGATAGGCATAAGGTCTGGCCGATGGGTTGTAGGGCTGGCCAACAAGCCACCCCTTTCCCTCAGAAACAAAGCCACAAGCTCTTGGTCCACAACCAAGCACAAAACAGACAAGTTGAGAGGCTTCAAGGCAAGGCGCGTAGCTGAGACCTTCAAAAACTCAAAACGAACACGAGCATGGATGATCATCGAGTGTTCGAACGATGACGTCCAAGTCTTGAGGACGGTTAAAAATGGGGTGTCTACACACCTATTCTTCGCCCTTTTAAACCTATCAATAAAGTGCTCTGCACTTTCAGAAAATTTTTGTCTTAACTCAGACAAGTCAACAAGAGTCACTTCTGGTTCAGTTCTATAAAAATGGGCATGAAATGCATTTTCCATTTCCACCCAAGCATGAATAGAATTAGCAGGAAGATTTATAAACCAAGTAAAAGTAGTTCTAGATAAAGAATGTGGAAATAATCTCATCTTAAGTACATCATTGTTTCCAACCTCCCTACACTGCAAAGTAAACCTCCATAAATGTTCAATTGTTGACTAACTCTCCTCATCATTAAACAAGGAAAACTCAGGAACTCTGTAGTTTCTGGGAAAAGGTTCCTCATCTACCCATTGAGGGTAAGGCTTCCTAAACCTTGGCCTTTCAGGCCTTCTCATACCTGGACCATAAAGGTCTTGAACAATTTGTATAATTTGGTCTCTCTAAAAGTCGTTTATGTGATTAAAGGCGTTTTTCCCCCCATGACCATAATTATTCAAATTATTTTCAAAAAGTTCTTGTCTGTAAAAATTTAAATCCCTCGTAGTTGGTCCTGATTCTCCTGGCCTTAGGCCATTTCCAAATGGGTCATAGTACATTTCAAGCCTATTCATTTGATTATATACACCAGCATTCTCAAAATTATTAAACCTTTGATTCCCATAACCCATATTTTGAACCTCACCAAACGTAACATTTTAGTTTTCAAAAACAGAGTTATTCCTTAGCCTTACATTCTGATAATTATTGAATTCTATATTAAACAAGTTTTTATTTTCTATCCCCTTTTGACCATAAAGAGGATTAGAAAAGGTATGAGGCCTAAATTGCCCCCTAAGTCCAGTTTTGGGCCAATTTTCTTGAATTTTAAAATTTGGAGTTTGAAATACCTCTTGCATTCTTTCTTCAGTAGTTGGGCCCCTGTAAAAGTACATTGGCTCCCCAGAAGATTGTTGTTGTACTCCAACTGATGACACTAGATACACACCTCCAGCATTTGAGGACATTTTTTGTGTCTTCACTTCAACTTGACTTGAATGTTCCATTCGATGGACCATTCATCACTCCTAACCTCTCCAAGAAAGATTTGGTTCTCTTTAAGTGATTAGTTTGCCATAGCATCTCTCAACTATGCAACCAAAACTCCTTTGGGGACTTTAGCATGGCCACTTATCTTGCCTTTTGGAGCCACCACCTGACTCACATGTTGGGAATCTCCACCATCAGTTAAGACCAAGTCCTAGTCTACTTCTCCTTCTTCGAACTCAACATGCCTCTTCTCCAAGTGCCTGCCATTTTGCTTCTTTGCCTTCACTATTGTTCCAAATTATGATGTTGTTCCATTGGGCATGTCCAAAATTGTTAGTAAAAGTGATGCTTATTCCCAACCGATAGGGATTAAACAACAATTTAAACCAAACAATCAAACAAGAATAATGAAGCAATTGTGTAATTGATTCAAATGCCTCAAAAGAATGAAGACTTCTCTGGAACAATTGACAGTTAGAAAGTAAACAAAAAGTAATTTCAAAAGTGAAACTACTGAAGTTCACAAAAATTTACAAATTACAATGATAAACTATTCCTATTTCGAAAGAGAAACTACTCCTAAGATAAAACTAAATCTAAAGCTACATGTTGTTGAGTTGATGATATCCTTTTCCTTTCAAATTTTTGGCCTTGATATTCTCTTCCTCTTTTCTTGGCCCATGATCGCATGATTTCCCAGAGTCCTATAACTACCACTACTGCAACTGCTCCCTCACTTCCAAACTTTCATACTTCATTAAGCCTTCAATTTCACCTATCGAACTGTCTTCCCTCCGTGTTGCCACGTGTCCTTCAACACTTTTGGCCTCTCATCGACAAAGCCAAGTCTTCAATCTGCACCTGATCCTTTCTGCAAGCAACCCACTAAGTCCATGACCTAGCCTAATAATTGTTTCACCTTCTAGGCATTCAATGCACATGATCAACCCCTCTAATGCCACTTGCCCCTTTGACTAACAGAGATTTCTCATTTTGACTCTGCTATGTGTCATCATATGATTGATCCACATGTCGACAGGAACTCAACAAAAATGGGTGCAAACAAAACCCAAAAGCATTAATCTAAATTTTTTAAAAAAATAAAAAATAAATGTTGAGAAATGCACATAGCATAGAAATATTGGTTCCTAAATGAATATTTAATATTCAAGACTTATATTTAACAATTAATATTTAAATAAATAAGTGGGGCTAAGTACTAATAGATTGCACAAGACAATTCTCCAATGACTAGGCTTGAGCTGGGAATGGTTAGTATAAAAATTGACTCAAACTTAATCTCTACTCTACTTTTAGTGTTTAATACAATTATTAAAACCCTCAAATTTGCTCATGCTGATCAGAACTTAAAAAACTTTTAAAATTTAAATATAAGAGTAATGTTAAGAATCTCAAATGAATTACCAAATACTTTTTTTAGAATATGAAATCCCTAACATTTTTGTAAATATAAAGTTTAAATCAATTATTATCAAATATTTCTACTAATTATAAATCACTTTTTTAGATTCGGTGAACAACTAGGTCTAAGATATGGCCCTTATGGGGCCTGATCTTAGATAGCTTTAAATTTTCAACAACGTTAGGAATGCTAGCACATCAACCATCACTTGGTATGGAATCCACATCAACTTATGAGTGTGCTAGTAAGATTGTTAGTAAATGTGTTAGTATTCCTAACATTTTTCTTAAATTTGTTTCTTAAATAATAATAATAATGACAAAGAAAAATATACATATAGAATGTGTTACTCAAGTGATAAGAACATTCATTATTAAACTCATGGTCATTGGTTTGAGGCCCTTCCTACTCTTTATGTAAAATGTTATATATTTTTTTATGAAATTGAGCGTAATATATAATTTTTAAAATAAAAATGGAAAACTTTATTCATATATAAAAATCATAAAAAAGTTTTTATGGCAATGGAAAACTATAAACGTGTTTCTGTTCTCTCAAATTAGAAAGATTATGTCATCATGCGCTTATTTAATGAGATAATATCAATTTTTATTATTTTTTTATTTTTAAAGTCGTGTACTATTAGTTAGGTATATCGTTAATATAAAATTTTTGAAAAACTGAATAATTATTTGTACGCTCCACTAATTATTAAATGTCAAGTCTTTTATTATTGCTTATGTTTCATTACAAAATCGTGAATTGCACTTTTTCACTAATCATAATTCTTTTAGGATGTGTTCGGTTGAAAGGTTTGATGAGAGAAATAAAAACAGAAAAAAAAAAAAATCGACAATGCTACGTAACTCAAATTTTATAGCTCAAAAGTGGTTCAAATGGCCAAAACGACGTCGTTTTGGGTACAAAACAACATAAAAATGGCCAAAACGACGTCGTTTTGGCCATTTGAGCCACTTTTGAACTACAAAATTTGAGCTACAAGACATTTTCCAAAAAAAATACAATCTTAATTTTTGTTTGGTTATAATAAAAAATACAAGGGAAAAGAATGTAATAGGAAAATGTAATCTCACTTTTTGTATTTTAGATTCTTAATTTGAAATTCAAATTTTATCAATTCTTTTCTTTTCTTTTTATTTTTCTTTCTCTTTTCATTTTTTTCATCAAATTTTCCAACTAAGCCTTAAAGTATACTATCTGACCATGGTCCAAAATCACCAAATAACTTCTCTTTGGGTGGTTGAAAAAACTGTGATGTGCCCCTTTTCATCAGCAATGGTTAATGCTATGAGTTTGATAAGCGTTATTCATTTAAGTTTTTGGTACCTTCTTTCCTCTTTTTAACTCTATTCACATAGAGAGAGAGAGAGAGAGAGAGAGAAATAGTGACAATGTGTTGGTGAGAGCTAGTATTTTTGCTACAAGTAACAAAAGAAGAGCAGAGAGGTTATGATGATGGAGCAGAAAGAGGTGTCTGTCTCTCCTCTTAACAAAACTACTAGTGATGAATCTAAAAAAACAACACAAGAAGCAGCAGAAGGAGCAATAACAACAACAACAACAACAATAACAGCAAAGAGAGCTGTGGAGTGCATCTATGGAAGCAATGAGGTTGAGCTTAACAAAATTCGTCTCATGAGGGCCTTTGTCCAAACACAAGATACTTCTTCCAAGGTTTCTTCTCTCTCTCTCCCTTTTCTTTTTACGCGAGATCATGAATTTTGATAAGAATTTAAAAAGAGAAAAACAAAAAAATTATATTTCATTCACTTAAAAAGGGGTAACTTTTTAATGTTCCATTTTCTTTTCAGTCAACAAATTCCCTTCAACTCCTAGATTCAAAGCAGCCAACGAAAAAAAAAAAGAAAAAAAAAACATAAGTATTGACATAATTTATCATACATTTCTATTATTCATAATAAACAATGTCATTATCGCGTTCAATAATTTCAACCCGCAGGATCTCTAGAAATTTAATAGATATGTACTGAGATACATAACTATACAGACTATATTATACTTCTTGTTAAACCAAACATTAAAAACTTAGGACTTGTTTGGTATTTTGTTTTTAGTTTTTAGTTTATATTTACAAAAATTTTAAAATTTGTCATAAAAACTTATTTGATAATTTTTTTAATTTATAAATGGTTGTCTCAATTTGTAAATTTGATCACAAAAAGTAAACTCAAAAAATGAGTTTACGTTGGTTTTTAAATAGAAATTTAAAATTTTGACTAACAAATTTTTTTTTCAAATAATTTTTTTTTTTTCAATTAAAATTTTTTCCAATTAATTTTTTCTTTGAAATAAATTTTTTTCAATTATTTTTTTTCCAATTAATTTTTTTAATTATAATGTGTACAATCCCATTTTCATAAATGATAAAAAATAAATATAAATATTTTAGGCATGAACAAACATATTTTTTAGTTTACATTTTTAAAAATTTTCAAACATTTTGTTCAAACCAAACGCGTTTATAATTTATGATTTTCTAAAAATAAACAAACATTAGTTTTAAAAAAATTTATAAACATAAACAAAAAACGTAAACGTTACTAATGCTACCTAAATGTTTAATCTAATTAATGAAAATCTCAGGGCCGAACCAGAAAATTCCAGAACATTAACAAAATCTAAGAGAGTTCATTCATTAACCCAGTTAATGAAAATTCATTAACCTAGAACATTAATTAAAATTCTGGTTAATGTTTACATTCATTAACCTAGTGCAAATCAAGAAAGAAAATGAGGAACTAGTAAAGAATTGTAAGGAAAAGAGTTCCTAACCTAAGTACAAGTACCTGCTTGAGAAGCAAAATTAAAGAAATCTGAGACAGAATGATAAAAAGAAAAATACTATTAGTAAGAGCACTTCTCAAAACTAAAAATGTATAAGAATCTATTTTCATGTTTGGTGAGAGCCTCAACCCATTTGACTAAGATGAAATAAAAATGATTGTTAATATGAAACCCTTTTTTTTCTTAACCCTCATTTGATTATTAAAGAGAACCTCAGCCCAATTATTGAAAAAAAAACAAACAAACAAACAAAAAACAAAGGATAGAGTAGCCATTTGACAAAAAAAAGGCATACTTGGACAACTCCACTTCGTTGTGTTACTATGTTTCATCAGAGTATTAATCTGAAAATAAAAAATAAAAAAAAAAATCACAGAGCTATGAGCTGCTAAAAAACAGAGTTAAAAAAAAAAAAAAGTGAGGAGATAAGAGTGCATCACCTAGTGATGGTGGAGAAAAAATGAAAAAAAATACAAAGAGCTTTGTCCTTCAAAGAGGTGAAGCTCACAGTGCTTTGTTCTTCAGAGCTTCGTTCTTCAGACAGAGCTATGATGTAAAGTGCAGTGTAAGAGTTGACAGTTCGATAAATCTGGATCATTGAATTCTTATTTCTTAAACAAATTTGGACCATTGAATATCATTTGAATCTCAACCTTTGTTTTTAAATTAGACAAATATAGACCATTAAAGGCAGTTTGTAAGAGAGATATTTTTAAAAATAAATATGAGTCATTGTTTTTAAATTAGATAGATCTGGACTATTAATTAGAAAAACATTTTCAAACCAACCGTTCCATTGTTATATTTATATATATTTTTCAATTTAATTTTTTTAAAAAGTTTTTCTTTGATTTTAGTATTTTTTCAAAAAAAATAATTAATTAATTAATTTTTATTTATTTTAAGCCCTTTTAGCTTAGTTGGATCTAAAATTGAAAAATAAAATAAAATAAAATTCAATAAAAACGAAAAATAATAATAATAAAAGCAATTCTCCCTTATTTTCAGAAGTAGGTTAAAAGTTGACTTTTTAACCTTTTTTTTAAAAAAAAAAAAATATGCAAAGAAATAAATAGGTGATGTAACCCAAAAAAATCAAAAAGTTAAAAAGTTGTCTTTTATCCGAGCTCCCAAAGTGATGTTTTGGGAAGTAAATTAAAACCTAACTTTTAATTTATTTATTTTTTTAAAAAAAGACGTATCAAAAAATAACGAGATAATATAACTTAAATTTTTTTATAAAAATCAAAAAACTGTCCTTTAATCCAATTGTTAAAATACGCCAAAATAGTTCTTCCCGTTCATCATTTTGAGTCCCGAAAAATGCTTGGGAGCACTAATTAGTGCTCCCACTAATTAGGTGGCAGTGGGTCCCGCCATTAATGATGTGATGTTTTGGTCTTGAAGTTGTATTTTATTTTTATTTTTTTTACTTTTTTAATGCATTAGTGCTATTAGTGGTGATATTTTTAGTGGGATGAATCATTGTTGTTTGAGTCCCCCTACCTTATCTATCAAGAATTATTCACTCACGTGATTATAGGGAAATTGTTCCGTATCCATTTCTCTCCTATTTACGTTCCCACTTTCTCACACTCTCTTCTAATGGGAATTATTGGTCTAATGATTTGATGAGAGAAATTAAAAAGAAAATGAAATAAAAATAAAATGAGAAAAAATTGATAGAATTCAAACTTTAAGTTATATTGGTTGAGTTGAGAGTATTTCAAATTATATTTGGTTGAGTTGAAAAATGAAGAAAGAAAATAATATAAGTAAATCTAAAAGACAAAATATAAAATTGTATTTTCCTTTCACTTTCTTTTTCCCTTTGTTTCCAATTAACCAAACAAAAAGTGAGATTGTATTTTATTTTATTTTTTCATTTCTCTCATCAAATCCTCTAATCAAACACAATCTTAAGGTTTCATTTTATTAAAAAAATAATTTAATAGAAAGTAAAAGAAAATGAAATGCAAGAAAAGAAAATAAATAGAAAAGAAAATATATTTTTTTGAAAGCATTTGAATAAGATGAAAATTTTGTAAGAAAAAAAATAAAAAATTGCAAAAATTTAATTATAAATAACTCACACATTTAATTTTTTTGTAATTTTTTTACAAGAAATTAAAAATTAATTATAATGTTAATATGAGTTATATAAAAAAATTAATTTTCTTTTATTTTTCATCACTAAGCAAACTTATAAAAAATAAAAAATAAAATAAAATTAAAAAAAGGTGCAAGTAATAAAAATATATATATATATATATATAAAAAGTTGCTAAATTCAACTTGAAAGCATTATACTAACAATGTTAGCAATTTCCAGAAACATTGTGCCTTTAGATGTTCCTACATACTTCACCCGGGAACAATTAGATTTGGTTCATTTTATCCCTTCACTGATGTTAGTCGAAAACCAAATTGCAACCAATTCACCACGACTTCACAGTGTGAAAATCCTTACTTACATATTGACAGTACAAGTTTCCTTAGAGTACAAACTCGAGTAAACAAATGTATGATCCTGTTAAGTCACCCACTTCTCCCGAAGCAAACATATGTTTTGAGGAATTCATTGGACAAAATCTGTTTTTCAAGTGGAGTTTGCATCAGTTTCCTTTTCTGCTGCATCTTCCATAAGCTTCTTTTTCAAATATTCTTCAAGTGGGGGTCCAAATATTGCTTTTCCAAAAACAACTCTAATTCTGCGAAACCCAGAAAGTCAAAAGACATTATATTCAACACTGGATTTAGAGAAATTTTGAACCTGAAGACATTATATTCAACACTGGATATATATATATATATGTACTGACATTATATATATACAGTGTTGTATACAATGTTGACAATGTTGACATCGTATAAATATATATCTAGAGAAAACATTGTCAACATTTGTAGGAAACATTGTATACAATTTCTCTGTCAGCACATTTCTTTGGATTCAGAGAAAATTTCTCTGTCAGTTTTATCTCTTTATTGTACACTGTCAAAAGAAATTCAAGGGTTCTCTGTATGTATATGTATATATATGTATGTATCATATATATATATATATATACATTTATCAACAATAAGGAGATAGAACTAACTAATTTTTCTTTTGAACCTGAAGATGTTGTAGAACCAGAAGATGTTGCTTCCGGAGCCGTCGCCGCTACCGAATCCAGTGGAAGAGGAGAAGCCGAGGCGGCAGTGACGCATACCAGTGGTGGCCGGGGCTGAGCTGTGAAGAGACATTTCAGCGATGATTGGGACAATGGCGATGGAAAGCACGATGGTTCCATCAATGGGGTTCGCTATTTTCTCTTCAAATCCCAGAAATTAGCTTCCTTTGTTTGCCTCCACAACTTGAGCACTAGGATCACTTTTTTGCAAGCTCTTGAAATTAGATACAGGACCATTTCCACCAAAGATTAAATACAGAGATACATATATATATATAGAGAGAGAGAGAGAGGGAGAGAGAGAAAGAGAGGGGCACATACCCAAAGGAGATGAAGACGAAGGTGGACGATTTGATGAACTAGGCATGCCGAGAGAGTTTAGAGTGTGTGTGTGTGTGTGTGTGTGTGTGTGTGTGTGAGTGAGAGAGAGAGGGGGAGAGAGAGAGAGAGAGAGAATGAGGGTTGATTTTAGATAGTCAAATTTCTCTGTGATATATGGGTGTGGGAGTTGAGGGACTTTAGACATCATAAAATAATATTGTGGATCTCTTCCATTACTAAAAATGGAAAAGGGACCTTAGACTAATTTTTCCTTATTTAAATCAATTAAAAACAAGTTGAAGCCTTGAAGGCACCACATAATTTTACCATAGGTGAACTATAAATAATTTTTCTCCTTTTCACGAGCTCACCATTCTCTCTCCTTCTTTCATAAAGGAGATACGGTAATTGGTCAGATTGAATATGGATTGTAGGGTGTGTTTGATTGGACGGACTATATAAGGAGGGATTAAAATCTATTAGACTTAAATCTTGGGACTATGAATCCCCCAGACTATTTGGTTGGATTAGATGTGTATGCCGTGTTTGTTTTCTCATGAGATTAGATATCTGGAAAGGACTATTATTAGTGAATCCAATGTTTGGTTGGACGGACTGGATAAGAATAAATGTTCAAAAGACTATTTTACCCTTGTAATTTATAATTTATATTTTTTATTTAATATATAATTTTAAATTAACAACACTAAAAAAATAATTTATAAATATTCAATAGACTATTTTACTCTTTTCCAATTGTTTATTAAGTAATAGCATGAGGGTAAAATGGACATTTTGTACATTAGTCCCATGGGATACCAATCCCATGGAAATAATCCCACCCCCTAGGATTGTATAGTCCCTCATATAAGGGATATAGGCCATGTTTGTTTGGGCGGATTGGATTAGCATTCTCATGACTAATAGTCTTAAGACTACGAATCCGTTGGATTATGTATCCTATCTTAACTAATAGTCAAGTTTAAAATAATTAATCCGTACTTCAATTGTTTAATCAAACATCGGATTAATAATTTTATTGGACTATTAGTCCAATCCCAAGCTCATGTCCACCCAAACAAACATAGCCATAGAGTACAGCTGGATTCCATGTCCAGCTGACTAAAAATCCAATCAAACGATGGACATCTCCTTCCATGTGATAAGCAATCTGCACAATAAATAATCCCCCTCTCCCTAATCCCCCCCCACCCCCAATCAAACACACCTGTATAGTCATATCAATCACTTTTTTTTCTTTTTCAACATTTTTATTTACTTATTTTTTTTTCACATTTTTAGAAAATCATAGAAAAGCGTAATGTGAATAAAATAAGTTTCTCAACTCATTAAGGGCTCAACTCGTTTAGTAAATAAGCTGAACTCGAACTTAAATAAGTTTGACTTCTTTATCTTTATTTAAATTATATATTAAATAATATACTAAATATATAAATAACAATAAAAAAATCTTATTGAGTCGAGCCGAGCTAAACTCAAGCCCAGTTAATCATCGAACTGAACTCGAGCTCGATAAACAAGCTCAACAAGTAAACGAGCCGAGCTCAAGCTCAACAAATCTTGACTCAGCTCGTTTACAGCCCTACTTCTATGGACTGGTTAGGATATTTATTTGTTATTAATTATCTTTGACCAGTTATTTGACCAATTAAATGGAGGGAAAAGATAAAACTTACAAACCATATTTTAATTATGACATAAAGCTTACACATCATCACACTACTACAGCCACTGTAACCATCCTCACTGCACCTCAGTGCCATCACTACCACCTCGTCATCACCTCCACCACTCACCACCACAGCTACCATCATACCACTACCTGACCACTGTCACCTCTACCACCTCCTTCTCCTCCTTCACTACCATATCAATGCTACCGCCACCACTCCAATATAACTATTAATACATTAGTTTCAACATCAAAAAAATATTTTGTGCCGAAATGAACTGAGCATTAGTTCCTTTTAGAGTTTATGTATAACTTTAGTAGACACAAAGGAAAAGGAAAGATGACTCTTTGCTCAAACCATATCTACTTTCCTCTACAACCAGCTGGTACATGTTCTTTTCCAAGCATGCTAGCTAGATTGCTTTAAAATGGTTTTGTCTATAATAAGCTGTATTAAACGAACTAACTAAATTTTAAAGATTGAAACATTGAAAAAGTAATGATGATTAAACAAAATATAAGTAGTGGATGGATACTAAAGCATTAGCCTGCATTGTGCATATATACCATGATCAGATCACTGATTTTTATTTTTTTATTTTTTTAGGGGGGGTTTAAAATGGATTTGCAGGATGAAGATGATTTGATGATCAAAAGGTTTCTCTGGGCTCGTAATGTAGACATACAAAAGGCTTTAGCAATGTTCCTTAAGAACTTGAAATGGAGAAGAACATTTGTGCCAAATGGATTCATTCCGCTTCAGAGATCCGAAATGACTTAGCACAGAACAAAATGTTTCTTCAAGGAGTAGATAAAAACGGACGTCCCATAATAGTTGTCTTTGATGGTAGACATTTTCACAACAAAGGAGGTTTGGAGAAGTTCAAACGTATGTTCCTCACATTTTTCTATGTTTTTTTTTCACCTTTTTCATGCTTAAATTATGAGTCATTGAAGTTCAGATAAGCTTTGTTTTGGTTCCATGAAAAATATTTTCCAACTAATGCGCCAATGGTTGTATTAGTGGCAGTGTTATTGGAGGTAGAGTGGTCTTGTAGTGATATGTTAGGAAAACTCCTATATTTTTCCCTCCTTGTGTAATTAGAAAATGGGCAACAAACCACAAAGTACAAGCAATAATATGGCTGAAATTAAAGGCACAAAACAATCACAAAACACCAAATTTACGTGGTTCAGCAAAAATGCCTACATCCACGGGTCCAACTCCGAATCAACTTCCACTATAAAATAATGGGGTTACAAGATATCATCTCTAGCCATAACTAGAGGCATACAATCATTAAGAGAATATTCTTGGATCACTAATCAACAATTATATCATCTCCATAAAGGTGGGTTTCAACAAAATCAACAAGAGATAAAGTTTAGGTCTCACCAAAGTGGATATCCCAGACTACCAGTCCAAGAGAGCTTTGATAAGATCAACTCCAATCAAAATGTAGAACTTGATTCCACGAGCAACATGCTGAAATTTCATCAAGATTGGGCAAGAAACGGCCATCCAATTTGGGTTTGAACTATAGAAAAAAACCCTAACTTTTCTCCCCTTTTTTCTCCTCTCTCTCTCGGTACTCTTTGTTTTGTTGCTGTGTGTACAAACATTAGAGACAAAAGTCACTTTTTACTCCTTTTTCTTGTTTGACTTGCAGGTACAAAACCAAATCTTCTCTAGAAAGCTTTACAAGAAAAACATATATAATAATAATATTGACTCTAGAGAGTCTTTGTGTGGCCCACCCAATTAAGGAGGGACCCACCCAACAAATGTCCCCCTCCCGGCTTAGGTGGGGGGCATAACTAACCTGCCTTACATCTACAAAAATCATGCTTCTGTTTGGACAATGATTTAGTCATCATATCCAACCCATTCTCATCAGTGTGAACCTTCACAAGTTGAAGAAATTTTTCTTCGAAGATATCGCATATCCAATGATACCTCACATCAATGTGTTTCGACCTTGAGTGGAATGTCGGATTCTTGCTCAAGTGGATAGCACTCTGGTTGTCACACAAGAGAACATATTTCTTTTGCTTTAACTCCAATTCATTTAGAAGTCTTTTGATCCATAACATCTCCTTGCATCCCTCTGCTACTGCGATGTATTCCGCTTCTATAGTAGACAAAACAACACATTTTTGCAACTTTGACTACCAAGAAATAAAAGTCATCAGGTACCCTGATGTGGACTTCCTACAATCAATGTCTCCAGCCATGTCTACATTTGTGAAGCCTTCTAGTAGAGATTTTCCATCTCCAAAACATAAACACATCTTGGAAGTGCCTCTAACCTAAGAATCCATTTCACTGCGGTCCAATGATCTTTTCCAAGATTGGAAAGAAATCTGCTCACAATGCCAACCACATAAGCTATATCCAACCTGATGCACTCTATCGCATACATCAAACTACCAACGGCAGATGCATAGGGAACTTTCTTCATTTCATCTTTTTCTTTCTCACTTTCTAGACACTGCTTCGAACTAAGGTTGAAGTGATTTGCAAGTGGAGTACTCACTGATTTCGCCTTGTCCATGTGAAATCTTTCAAGAACTTTCTCAATGTACCTCTTCTGTGATAGCCAAATCTTGCAATTCTTCTTTTCACGAGTAATCTTCATGCCAAGTATTTGCTTTGCAGGACCCAAATCCTTCATAGCAAAGGACTTGCGAAGATCTTTCTTCAACTTCTCAATTTTGCTAGCATCATGCCTAACCATCAACATGGCATCCACATAAAGCAGCAAAATGATGATGTCGCTATCTGAGAATCTCTTCACAAACACACAATGATATGAAGTAGTCCTCTTGTAATCATGATTAACCATAAAGGAATCAAACTTCTTATACCATTGTCGTGCTGCTAGCTTCAACCCATATAAGCTCTTCTTTAGTTTGCAAACTAAGTTCTCCTTGCCTTTCACTTTGAACCCTTCAGGTTGCTCCATGTAGATCTCTTCCTCCAGTCACCATGAAGAAAAGGGGTCTTCACATCAAGTTGTTCAATCTCTAAGTTCAAACTTGCGGCCAAACCAAGAACAACCCATGTAGATGACATCTTCACTACGGGTGAGAAGATTTCTTCAAAATCAATTCCATTTTTCTAACTAAAACCCTTCACAACCAATCTTGCCTTGTACCTTGGCTATGAGTTTCCTTTTTCTGTCTTCAATTTGTAGACCCATTTGTTCTTGAGTGCTCTTTTCCCTTTAGGCAATTTCACCAACTCATAAGTGTGGTTCTCATGTAACGATTTCATCTCTTCTTGCATGTCTTTCAACCACTCCCCCTTATACTTGTGAGTTGTAGCTTCTTGGTAGCACTCTAGTTCTCCCCCATCTATAAGCATCACATACTCAATGCGAGAGTACTTTGTTGAAGTCTGACGCTCTCTTTTGGATCTCCTCAACTGTGGTTCTGTTGGTGGTTCAGGAGGTGTTTGTTCTTCTTGCTCATCCTCTTGTTCTTCTAAATCCATAGCATCATCACCAACTATATCATCACCATCTTCTTGTACATCTCCCCCACCATCATTATGCACCGTGGGTGGAGGGACTGGATCCAAGGTTATTGGAAACTCATTTGTGGAAGCTGGCTTCTCAACTCCTCTATCAAGGTCTTCAATGGTTTGATCTTCAAAGAAGATTACATCTTTGCTCCGCACTACCTCTTTGTCAAATGGATCCCACAATCTGTACCCAAACCATTCATGGCCATATCCAAGAAAGATGCACTACTTTGTCTTTCCATCAAGCTTTGATCTCTTATCTTTAGGAATGTGCACAAATGCTCTACACCCAAACACCTTCAAATGCCCATAAGAAACATCATTTCTTGTCCACACTTTGTGTGTTATATCACCATTAAGTGAAGCTAAAGGAGAAAGGTTGATTAGATCAACTGTAATCCTCATTGCCTCACCCCAGAAGGATTTAGACAGTTTTGCATGCAAGAGCATACCTAATTCTTTCCACAATTGTTCTATTCATTCTTTTTGCCACACCATTTTGTTGAGGTGTCCTGGGAATAGTTCTTTCATGCTTGATGTCAATCTTCTTGCAGTAATCTTCAAGTGGACCCCTGTATTCACCACCATTATCTGACTGCATACACTTCAATGGTCTCCTAGTTTCCCTTTCAACATTAAACTGAAAAAGCTTAAATGCTTCCAACACACAATCTTTAGTTCTCAAAGCATAAGCCCAAACTTTTCTAGAATGATCATCAATGAAAGTGACAAAATAACGTGCACCGCCAAGTGTACTAACTTTCATTGGCCCACAAACATTAGAGTATACTAAATCTAAAACATGTGATTTTCTAGATGCAAGAAATCTATTGAAAGGAAATTTATGTTGTTTTCCGGCTAAACAATGAACACAAGTTTTGAGTTGTGTACTTTCACCTCAAGAAGGAGATCTTTTCTGGCTAGAACTTGCATGCCTTTCTCACTCATATGACCAAGCCTCTTGTGCCATAGCTCTATAGAGATCTCTTTCTCAACTGCATTGACATTGCCTTTACTTAGCTTTGCTTGCATCACATAAGGAGTGGAGCACTTCTTTCCTCTTGCCACTATCAAGGAACCTTTGGTGAGCTTTCATTTTCATCACCAAATTGATTTTTGTAGCTTTCATTATCAAGTTTCCCGGTGGAAATTAAGTTAAGATTAATGTCTGGAACATGTCTAACATTTTTAAAAACAAGCCTGCAACCAGTGTTGGTCTCCAAGCAAACATCTCTCATTCCCACAATCTTGGACATACCATCATTTCCCATCCTCACATCGCCAAAGTCACCAAGTGTATAGGATATAAAAAAGTCCTCATGTGAAGTAACATGGAAAGAAGCACCTGAATCAGCCACCCAACTGGACTGATCATGCCCTATGAGCCCAACATAGTCATCATCACTGACAATGATAACATCACCATCCTTAGAAGCAAGTGCAGTTGTTTCTTTATCACCATTGTTCTCACCACCTCTTTCTTTCTTTTGCTTTCTTTTAATCTTTCAACATTCCTTTTTAATATGCCCTTCATGCCATAATGATAGCATTCAATGTCCTTCCGGGATTAGGATTTTCTTCTAGACTTGTCCCTTGACTTGTCACGGTTGTAGATTTTTGTGGTTCTACATTTTCCCCTGTTTTCAGCGACAAGAGCTTGTGACTCATTGGAAGTACCTTGCTCCTTTCTTCTAGCTTCTCCAATTCTATCTTTCACCATATCCATGGTGACCACACCATTTGGAGCCGAATTGCTTATAGTCACAACTAATGTTTCCCAACTATCAAGCAAAGAGCTCAACATCAACAATGCTTGCAACTTATAATCCAACACCATCTTTATCGTTGTCAACTAATTGATCAAGCCTTGGAAGTCACTCATGTGCTAGTAGCCAAAAAACATAAGATGAACAAAAAAAACTTTTTGGCTACTAAATAAATTAGTCATGGAAAATAATTTTAGTTTGGGCGACTTAACATTTTAGTCGCTGAAAATGTGATTAATTTTTTTTGAAAGTTTTTGGCGACTAAAATATCAGTCGCCAATTTAGCCTATCAACGACTAAAGTGTTTTTTTGTTGCCAATACCTTTACTTTTGGCGACTAATTGTTTAGTAGCGAATGCCTCACTTTTGGCTACTAAAATTTTTTGAGTCGCCAAAAAGCCTTACTTTTGGCTGCTAAAATTTTTTTAGTCGGTAAAAGCCATATATCGGTGACCAAACAGATTTTTAGTCGCCAAAACGTATACTTTTGGCTACTAAATTTTTTTAGTCCCAAAAAATCTTTACTTTTGACTACTAATGCTTTTTTAGTCGCCAAAACCTATACTTTCAGCGATCAAAGGTGATTTTTTTGTTGCTAAAAATA